TAAACCCTGCAGGGGGGCAGCCAACTATGAGGGATACCATTTTTGATGGTAAAGTTCAACAAATGGTATTCCCAGATGATTTTCATGTAGAAAAATTGCATGGAAAACCAAAAAGAATGAAGATAATTTTGGAGGAAAGAGGGTTATGGAGACTGGCCTAAAAGCATTCTGTAAAAAAAATGGTTAGTTTATTATGCATAATATAATTATATTACAATTATCAAAATATAAAAATAATCATCTTGTTATTATTTTTTTTATAAGTTTCTTTTGAAGAACCTTTGACTTGTGCTAGACATATCTTAGCAACCCAAGATGATTTTAAAAGCAAAAAACCCTTACTTCAAGAATTAATTGAAGCAAGGGGTCATAAGATCATCTTCTATCCAAAATTTCATTGTGAGCTTAACTACATTGAAATGTATTGGGGGGCTGCTAAATGGTATGTTAGGCAACATTGTAATTACACATGGAAAGGTCTTCAAGAGAATGTTCCCAGAGCCTTTGATTCTATACCATTGAAACAAATTAGAAAATATGCAAGAAGGGCTGCAAAATTTATGGACTGTTACAGGCTGAATATATTGTAAAAAAATATAAGTCTCATAGAAAGATTCCAGATAATGGTTGTAGAAGAAATTGATGAATTAATATAAATGCATTTTTTGGAAAATCACGTGATAAAAATTAAAAATGAAAGTGATAAAAAAAAATTTTGCATTTTTTTTTGAATTTGAAACATTTTGCACAGAATTTGATGTGTTAGAGTGACCCGCACCGTACTGTCACCACCTTTCCAAAGATGAATTGTCAAGTAAAAAGTGAGGAAAAATCCAAAACTGAACATTAAATCGTAAAGAAAAGCTGAAACTGATGTTGGGTAGGTTTATTAGAAAAGTATTATTTGGATTAATTTAAAAATTGTAAATAATACATTATTATTACAAGAAAAAAAGTTGTGTGAATTTCCAAATGAAGTTTTTGATTTAGATCCAATATGCCTAGTTAGAGTAGCTTTGGTGTGCAAAACATTAAATAATATTCTCCAAAGATGGATTTCATCTTGATGATTATGATAAAAAAGCAATAAATTATTCAAATAAAAATAATAATAGTACAACTGTAAACAACCTATTGTCGACATCATATAATACAACAAAATTGGGTTAATGACAAATTTAAACATGTACCATTTGGAGAAGTTGGGTCACATGTTTAGATCAGGGTTGGTAATTCATCGAGACCAACAAATTTTGGTCTGGTTCATTGCCATCAATAAAATACTAAGTATGGCTAAATTGTTACATTAATGGACCAATATCATGGCAACCCTAGTTTACAGAAACAATTATTTATGGAATCATTGATGGTTCTATATATATTCATTATGCTACATCTGGTAAATTTTAATTTATGAGCTTAGAGGTCACAAGGGTCAATGCAATCTATAATACGTTGGGCGTTACGAAACCAGAATAGGCGATGTATCATTCACATATAAAGATATTCATACACGTGTGTTTAATATGGATTATACACCGCCATATTTAGTAATGACAATAAATGATTCACCGAAACCAACGATTATTTTATATTTATTATAACTTTTGTATTAATTATTTAATATTTTTTTTTAGGCAAATAAAAGGTGATGAGTCTTGGTATAAAGGAATCTAAATGACAATTTAAATATTAATAGTGACGTCAAGAATGGAGATGAAGAAGTGGAAGAATAAATAATAATAAAATCAATAATTATTATAAAAGATCAACCAGAACCATAATATCATTAACAAAATTTGGGTGAGGATATAATGGTTTGAGTTAAAAAAATATATAAATATGTACATTTTTCATGAATTTATATACAAATATTTTATTTATGTTATATTTTTAGATGATTTTATTCAGGAGCTTAATGAAATGTAGGTCGAAATTCTCTAATTCCGTTTAAATTCTTATTATATTTAAAATTTATTTATTTATAATATTATTTATTTATATTATTTATTTATATTATTCATTATTAGTATTTATTTAGATTTGATTTATCTATTTATATCACGTTTATCATAATTATTATTTATTTATATTGTATATATATATATATATCATTTATTAGTAGAAATCAATGAAGGTTCAGTGCTTATTATGTTAGGAGCACTCTATTGTGATTTCCATTTTCCATTTTTAATTTTCCCCATTCTCTCATATCTCCATTCTCCAATTCACTCCCTTAAAACTTTTTCATTCACAATTATTATTTCAAATTTCATTTTTTGATTTTTACTCATTGCTATTTTAATACATAAAATTTTTTTTAGATTCGTACGATAGAGATATTTACTTACACCACTAATTGTGACTTTAATATTCATATTTAATTTTTCATCACTGCGAATAGCAAATTGTAAGTGCCTTTATGTAATATGTTTTACTCTTAAAATATTTAGATGCATTTCCTGCTAATTCAAGTACTTTTCCAACATGATCACTTGAATAAGAAGCTCAATGATAATGAAAATGGTGTTGTCAACATCAAAGCAATTAAAAGACCACAATTAAAAAATCAGGCAATAAAGAACCAACACACAGTTATAATTTGAGAAAAAGGTGAAACTAAACATTATTTTTTTATTACTATTACATTAGTTAAAGGTCATCTGGATAGCAATTTTATCTCATTATTACTATTACTATTACTATTACTATTACCATTACAGATGTCAAACGGGAATCCAACGGATATTATCCAATTAAATTTATAAACACCCAAAGAAATTACGATGAATTTTAAAAGCTGACTATTTGTCTACCTACTATCGAAATTTAAAAGACAAATAGGCGTATCTATTTGACTGTAGAACAAATTTTACTTGGCATATAAGATATATTTGTTTACGTAGCGTGAAAAGCGTAAAAACAATCAATACGCGTCGTGTTCAAGCAGTAGCCAATTCTGTTATGAGGGACATTTTACTTATTATACAATATTGGTTATCTCACTAGTTTACATATTTAATAAAGAAAGGGTATGCTAAATTTTTTATCCATTCTCAGCCAATAAGATTCAACAATCCAAAACCTATGGAATTAAATCATAGTCAAAGAAGCTATCGCATAACAAGATCATTAAAGAAATTTTATAAATGGAGCAATTTAAATTTATTTATTTATTATTTAGTTACAAAATTTCATCTATAAAAGATTCAAATACAAATGAACATTATTTATCAAAAGGTTAAAGTCGAAATAGGATCGTTCATGGGTTTAGAAGAGATTAATCAACAGCAAATTATTTTACAATGATCTTCGTAGTGGCAATATTCTTCAAGAAAAGTTACTCATACATGTATTAGTGATTTGCGATTATCAATGCCAGCTGACAAATCATCAAATAAAAGTGGCGGCAGTATTACCAGAAGTTTTAAGAGGCGAACCATAACAATGGCATTCAGACACCTATAGTTTTGGAGCATTGATGTCAACAATATCAACGGGTCAACAGCCGTTCATTAATCCTCCACGTGATGCAGATCTTCCAGTGGGCTATTTGTAAAGGTTTGATCGAGGCCCAGATTTTCTAGCAACACACCAAATTTTTTGAATTTTCATGCAAATGTATGGATACTGATCCTAATAAAAGGCCAACTTCTAAAGAAGTTATTAATGTTTCTTCTATAAAAAAAAAAAAGAATTTGAAGAAAACATTAGACCCTTCGACAATTCAAACAACTGTTCGCCCGAATGCTATTTACACTAGCAAATTATCAAAAGTTTACAAATCTCGCAGCTTGTAAATTAACAATTATTGTCATCCAATTATTTATTTGTTTTATTGTTTTGTATAAATATTTACATCAATGATACCTTTTCATCAGATAATATAAATTATGTATCGTGTAGGATAATAATTGATGACGAAAGTAAAATTTTCCATTGAACATTTCTGTGGAACATTTAAGTCTGATCCAGATAATCATTTACAGATTATCAGATTCGCCACAATACCAGTCAAAGAATCTTTTGATTTTATTTACATCATTGTTATCTATATTCGAGTGTTTGTTTATTCGTGAAAATTAATTACTAGAATGAATTAATTATTTTAATTAATTCATTTTTTGATGGAACATTTCATCAAACAATCAATCAATCACCATCACCGGAAATATTCCACTCCCAATTCCATGAAGATGAAGATAATTATTAATGATATAAAAAAAGATATATTAAAGGATGTTTAATATTATCGGAATAAAAACCAAAAAAAATTTTCCAAAAAAATTTGCCGATCTAAACAAAAATGTTGCAAGTAATGGTTTTGCTTTAAATTGATTTTTATTTGTGAGGAACATGACGTCTACTTGCTGACATGTGGATGACGCAAGTTAAAGTAAATGCCTGCCTACCCCTATTTTATGAACCAAAGTTGGGCAATATCTCGCAAAGGATGGGGAAAAGACTTCTTTAAGGAGGGGAGTGTTGAATTGAGAACACACTAAACAGCACGTTGGCAGTCTTGGCCTTTTATATAAAATAGACAATCCTTACGTGGTTCCCATTAAATTAATGGTGAATCTTTAACATCACTATAATAAATATTACAATTATAATAATAAATATTACAATTATAATAATAAATAACATGAATGACTGTAATGATATATTATAACATAATTGAAGGTTGTCGTCATCTTTTGTTGATGATTATTAATGCTGAAAGTCATGAATATGATTGGAATGCTGTTTAGTAATAAATAATATTTGTGTCAAAAATTTTGCGTTGAGACTCGAAGCTCCTTTTTTTTAATATTGGATGTTTTTGATTGCAATTATTCAAAAGATTGCGCGTACATTTTTTATTTTGTGATGTTATGTACAAGGAAAGACTTGACAACCATAATAATAATTATCAATGGTAACAATAACTAATAAATGATGGTGGAGTTTTACAACATTTTTTTATTTATTATAATGACAAAAATTTTTACTTTGATTTATTGTTGATAGACTCGTTTCGAAGTGGGTCTGACTTCATCCAACGTAGTTGTAGCGCCTGTTTGAGCTCTAGCGGCAGATCCACCTAATTATAAAATTATTAATATTTTTCATGATCACAACTTATTTTCTTTATGCGACTATAATTATTAACCTTCTTTTGGTTTTCCAGTTTTTTCATCAACATTTTTCAATCGTTCTGCTTCGCGTTTTTCAACTTCTTCTTGGGAAGGATGAGACAATTTGGTGTGAGGCGCGACGATTTTATCATCTTTAAAAGTTTTTTGCATCATTTTTAATTAATTATTATTTATTTATTTTTTTGTTTGTTTATAAGGGTTAATATTAATATTATTATTATTTGTTCGATTATTTTAATTTAATATGGGATTAAGGTTTGAGATTAAATTAATTTCACAATTTTAGATAATTTTTTTTGAATGAAAAATTTTTTTATTTATAATAAAACTTTATTAATATTATGTACAACTAATAATTTGATATAAACATGTAACTTAGAGAACGATTACAAATACAAATATATGTTTTAATAATAATAATATAATTTATAATCAAATTTTTTTTATCTATAATAAATATGTAAAAAATATGATGTAAATTTATATCATTATTACACACATTGATATTATAGTACGAAAAAATCTTAATTTTTAAAAATGAAGTCGGAAAAATAGTCGAATTCGGCTTAATATGATGATGATGACGTTATTATATAATTTTACAAATGAATGTTGTGGTTTTTTTATTACAAATTGTGAAATTGTGAATTTTTTGGGGTTTTTTTTTGTGATTTTTTTTTGGGGGTGCTAGTTTTTAGCATTTTTTAAAAGTATTGATATTACTACAATAGTACATGATGACATATATACATGCGAGTATTTATAATTTTTTTAGTTGTAATATTTTGACTTGAATTTTCTACGTTTTTTCTTTGTAATAATTACGCTTACTATATTCACTGGATTCATCGCTTTAGAGTATCTTCGAAGGGTGGAATAAGACGATGAGGAACTATTAGAATGATTATCATCATCAGATGCTGTAGAAGATTTACTGCTGGTTGACGTGGTTGGAATTGGTTGTGTTCGTGGTGCGTTATTAATGTCATTTCCATGACTGGTGTTGACATCATTGCCATGGCTTCCGTGTTGTTGTTGATAATCAATTGTTTTAACGACTTTTTTAATTGGCGTAAAAATTATTCTTTTAGTTTTACGAAGAAAATATTTCTTTGTATGATTTACAGATCTTAAAGTTGCAACTGTGGTCAATGATGATTTATGCCTGCTTCTCAATGACGGACGACGACGGATAAAATCAGCAGCGTAGTCGTAATTGAATAAAATTGAATTTCTATTAGGCATTTTGAATGTTTAGTTTAAGACGAGAGGACCTTTGGGATTTTTTATATTAATATATTTAATTTAATTAATTTATTTATTTATTTTATTTTTTTTTTGAATTTTATTATTATTATTATTATTTTCGAATTTTATTTTCGAAATGAATTTTTTCAAGAGACTTTTGAGAATATATTTATAATAAAAAAATAGGGTTTGTTCGAACCTTGTAGAAATTCACAATGACATCAGAATTTAAAGTGTAACAAAAACAATAGTGACAATATGACGATTAGAATATCAAAATTACATATTACATTTTCTTCAATCATTGCCAAATTTGAATATTTTTCCGCCACATTTTTACAAATAATAAAGAAATAGTAAAAAAAAATATTTATTCAAAAAAATTGTAGTCTAAAAATAAAACGTTCATTATGCGATACAAAATTCACACGTAATTGTTAATTGAATTTTTATTGATTAAAATGAGATGAATTAATCAATTTAATTTAGCATTCTCGGGCATCAGCTTCCCTTGTTTTGTCTAGAATTCAAATTAAAATTGACATGCATGTTGTTTTCTATACAATAAATGAAGCATGACAAGTTCTTAAAACTTAATGTGTGAGAAAATAAAAAAATCTTGTGACTGTATATAGAAATAATTTATGCTATTATTAAACTGAGAAAGATCAAATGATTCGTATTAATAATATTAAATATTAATAATCCAGCGAATTTTTTTCATCATGATGATATGTGAATATAGTGTTATCCATTATCTTGAAAAAAAAAGGTGAAGTCAAGAAAGTACAGTGATGTCAAAAAAAGATAAAGGACCTATGACCTATGACGTCATAGTAAATGTCGTAATTCATGCGGCATTTTAAAATAGAGTTTTTTAATGACATTCAATAGATAGATCATGCATATTTTTTATTAAGGAAATAATGTATGTGATCGGATTATTTTTTGAAAATTAGGGATCAAATTAATAAAAAATGTCAAGGGAGGATTGACGTACGTATGTGCATGAAAATCTTGACTGTTAAAACGGAGAATAATTTGCATTTATTTATAAGGAGATTGGATTAATTATTTTCAAATGAAAGGATATTGGGGGTAAAACGGAGACACAAAAAAATATCCGATAGCAAATAGTAAGTAATCAATGAAAGAAAATCATGCATGCGGTCAAAAGAACGGAGTATTTATGTGCAAAATATTACAGATATGTTTAATTTTCATGTGGGCAGATTTGATTGTGATAACTCGGTTAATTTCGCCCATCAAAAAAAAATATAATTTTTTTTACTTGCTACCGGAGTTAAACTGGAGTTGAATTGGGGGGTTTTGAATTGATTTTAGGAATCTCTTTAAAGCCATTTAAAAGTCGTTTTTAGGCATTAATTTCAATGGGATTTGGGTAAAGAATGTTTTTTGTTTTGTTTTGATCATTTATTTGTCATGTCTCATTCAATTTTGAAATGTGACAAATTCGAATTGTGTAACAAACCGTTTTTAAAAAATCTCATTATTATATTAAATTACACCATCAAAAAGGAACTCTTTGTGTAAAGCCATGGCTATCCTTCAAAAGAAGATTTTCCATCTTGCTGTAAATGTTTTGAAAATTGATGAGAAGATGCAAAATAATTTAGGCATTCGTATGGGTATTGCTTTATGTGGGTGATCAAGAATTATTTTAATATTAACAATCCATCCGCGAAACGATAATAATTTACCAAGTAAAAATTATCTAATCAATCGAGACTCTAAAACTGTTAGTAACCTCAAAAATCGAAGCATATAACAGATATCATGTGATTTATTATTTGAATATTTTATACTTAACAGACAAATTATCCGTTAAATCGAAATCCATTGGTACTGTGTACTTTTTCATTCAAGGAATAATTATTCATATGAGAATACATAAGCAACAGTCTTTTCTGAATAACAATATCTAAAAAAAACTCTTTTCGTCTTCTAAATAATAACAACTAAAAACCCCTTTTCGTACCCTTGTCGTTAACTTGAAAAGGATTTTTTTTTATCTTCTTTTTTTATTTCTCATTATCTTTCGTCCAACTCGAAAAAACATTTTTTATCTTTTGCTTATCCTTGGCCTAATTCGAAAGAACTTTTTAATGGAAGGAACGATGAGGGTGTGCTGGAAGGTGATAATATGGAGGAAAGTAGCGGTAATGGGAATGCGGCACTGGTAGTAATTATGAGAATGATACTAATGCAACGACAACGAACAATAGATAAGTTTCTAGCGATGATTATAGTGAGGAGGAACTGAACGAGAAATCTATTGCGGTAGAAGTTCTAGTGGCATCGATTATGACAAAGTGATCGGTATTCTTAGCAGTAAAGAAAAGCAGTAATTAAAATTATGGGTTGAAAACTAATAAGAACATAATGACAGTGATGATAATGGAAACATGGATATTATTGGTAACGATGATGATTATGATTATAGATAGTAAAAAAACTTTTTTTATTTTCACCCGATTCGAATAACCTTTTTTTTTTAATCATTTATTTAATTTGAAGAACCTTTTTTTTTTTATCATTTTATTTTCGTTTATTTTTCGTTCTGAAAGAACTTTTATTTGGCCATTGAGATCAACAAGTTTTTGATCCTGTTAATAAAATAAATATGTTACACAATAAATGGAATATGTCACAATTAAAAAACTGTTTTTAGTATTAGTAATAATATTAGTAATTAGACAATCGGGTAAATAATTATAAATTGTAAGTTTTACATAATACATATTTTTTAATTTGATTTTATTGATGGTATTCATTGTAATATTATAATATTATTATTGAAAAAAATCATAAAATTAATATATTTTATCATTAGATACGCAACAAAACAACATGGTAAATGAATGTTTAAACAATTTAAAAAAATACGTAGTATCTTTCTATTGATCATGATCGTCCAGGAAGTGACGGCAAAATCCAAGAACTTGTTAATAGTTGCCGAGCATCACATAAATTGGAATGTTCATTTAAAAGCTTGGTTCACTCTATGTTGGAATATATTCAAAAAATTTTTGTATACCTAATATATATTTTGTTTAAAAATTTTGTAACTTTAAATATCGAGATTAATAAAATACATTTTTAAAATGTGAATCTCGTACCAAATTTTGATAGAGTTTTGCACAAGACATTTATTTATATTACCAAGTACTTAAATAATTGATTGAAAGAAAAGTTTACCTGTGTATTTGGTAATTATGGAGGGGATAGAATTCATATTTTTATTAATCGAAATCATATATTCGACAGGCAATATCCCAAAATTCGATCAGTATAGGTATGGTATGGTTACACGCTGCGCTATAGATTTGTACTACAAATTTTACAGTAATCATTAGAATTTGATTGGCTAACAAATGAAAATAACAAGAGATCTCTGATCCAAATATTAGTATTGTATTAATATTAAAAAACAAAGTTGGGACAAGCGTTTTTTTTTATTAATTATCTAGCAATGTAATAGACAAATAGATTCGCAGAATCTATGAAGGTGCCAAACTTTTAATGTCATGCTTTATTAAACTATAATAGTTCTATTTACGGAACTTATTTTACTTCCGTAAAAATTCATAACACTCGCGGAATCACCGGCTATCGTACCGTTCAAACAAAACTTTAGATCTTATTGGGAGAGGCATTGAAAAAGATTACTAACTGCAACAATGATATATAGTACAGAAATTGTTCAATGATAACAATGACTAACAAAACATCAACCAAGATGCATATTATTAATTAATTACAAGATAGTATTAATACTACTGAAGAAGAAATAACATCATTTATTTTTATTGAATATATTGAAGAAAAAACACTACACCTATTAATTTATTTTAATAACAGAATAAGTAGTGGTACCTTCTCCTATATAAAAGAAGAAAAACATAGAAAATATACAAACAGCTTGATCAAAGCCATTTATATATCAAACCCGTTTAGGAAGAAGGAGTTTACTGAGTTACTTATGCAATGGAATGACGTGAGTGATAAACCATTAATATTAAAATATCCTCAACGAAAAGAAATAAAGGAACTTTAGCGAGTGAAACACAATCAAATGCGGTCGATTTAATAAACTGGATAAATAAACCGGGTCAATCTTGTTATCTTTTGAATCATGCAGGAGATTTATATTAGTTAGCATTAAAGAATTTATGCAATTTCATAATTGTAACGACAGAATTGAAAAAAAAAAAGTAGGATTGAGCTTAGAATTGTGCTTCTACTTGGAGAAAATATGGCAGAATTACACTACCACTAATAATCAAATCGCAGTATTTCACTACTACTAAAAACATCAAATGATAACCTCAAATAATTGATGATCGACGGTGATAACAGCATCATACGCGACATACTCACTTCTAGAGTAGTTTAAAAGGATATCACAGTAAAAACAACCAATAAGATAACATTTCACATAAAAAGAAGGAATTTTATGGCCCATCAGCCAATGTCAATTTGGTCATAGTCATGTTTGTTTTGATCATGTGATACAACTACTTGTGTTACGTTTGTGCCGTTGAAATGCAAGATTTACTTGTACAGTATACTAATAAAAAAAATATTGAATGCCTTCTTTCTATCTATATATCTATCTATTAAATTGAACAATTCCATTTATTGGACTAAAGTGGTTTGAGCAATAAACATTTATTATTATTGCTTCTAAATGAACCAATTGAACAAAGAGTTGCGCCATCCTGAAAAATCCTGAAAGTTTGATTAGATGTAATTTCATTAATATGTAAGTTGGGAACAATAAAAAATATATCAATCAATCTTTGAAATCAATTTGGGTGAGAAGGGAACTTTTCGCGAGGTTACACCACGGTAACAGCTATGGATTTCCATTTGGAAGCACTAATAATTCCCACATTCTTTATAGGAAAATTTTTTTGGAAGGACTATAGTTTTATGTTGACAATGATTGTATTAAGTCTATTAAGTCTATATCTATATATAATGATGATTTTTTGGAAAAATTATTGGTTTTTATAACAGATGAAATCATTAATCAATCTTTAAATTGTCAAATCTTTCTTTAAATTTCCAAATTTCCAATCAATAAATCAACAATAATCGACAATCAATCAATCAATCAATCAATCAATCAATCAATCTATCTATCTATCAAGTATTAATTTTACGCATCCTTCTCTTTGTGTCGTTATTCACAAAAAAAATTATTCCAAGAGGGTTTATTTATATATAGAGAGTTGAATTTTTAGATAGTTAATTATTATTATTATTATTATTATTATTATTATTATTATTATTGATTTATTTATATTGTTTATTGTGTATTTTTTTTTTACGCTCATTGTTTGTTTGTCTCATGATAATGATAATACAACTTTCCACAAAAATGATTCATACGTCATTCATTATTATTATTAATCAATATTGGGATAGTTGTTCAAAAAATTATCCAATTAAACCATTTGGAGAAAGGCCTTTACTATATGTTTATTTATTTGCCCATATTTATTTATAAAACTTACGCACTTTATTGTTATTGTTTTTTTCGAAATTATTCATTGTAAACAAAGCAAAAGGTTTAATCAAATGACCCAAATTAGTATATTATCTTTCTTCTTGAATTATTTATTTTTAAAAAAGAATTTGATTTTTTGATTTTTATCAAACCTTATTCTGTTTAAAGTTGGTTTGTTTATATTTATCTAATTTATATTTAACAACAAAAAGATACTTATCATAAAAAATTTTCCTGTTTAATAAATCCATTTTTCGTATTTTGTTTGGTGAATTTGAATTAATTGATCATTTAATCTCCTAAATGATAAACAAAAAATTTAGTATAAATATGCATTAATTAATTCTTAACATGCTTGCTGAAACAATTTAATATATTTTTAATTATAAAATTTTTTTATTATATTTACGTGAATGAATACTTTATTGCTTATTAACATTTTAAAAAATTTAAAAAATTTGAAAAAAATATAAACAATCGCATTTTTCACTTTTTGGATTTGAGCTAATGAATACCAGAATTATTAATTATAGATATTTGTTTGTGATTTTGAGTATTAATAATTATAATTATAGTTGTGGTACCACTAGTAGTAGTTGTAGTAGTAGTTTTGGTAATATTAGTAGTAGCAATTTAGTTATTTGATTGGAATTTTTTTTAAAGAAAGAAAAAGAAGGATTTATTTGTTCTAAAGGATTTCTCTATTTTGGTAACACACATAAATTAAAAAATCTAACTCTAACCATAAAAAGTAACTGAAAGACCTAATGAATATGAGGGGTGGCAAAGATCAAATGTCCTTAGCTAATCATCCAAATACAAACTATATTGACATCACAGATAGTAGTAGTGACGGCGATGGTGATAACAATAGTGATGGTAATAGTTATAATAGTGATATAAATAATAATAATAATATCAATAATATTGTTATTATTAGCGAAAATAATTATAATAACTTGAGCAACCCATTCGTCAGCAGTATTAACAACAACAACAACAACAATAATAATGTCATCACCACCACAAATAATTATGGAGGGACGTACCAGCAGCAACAGCAACAGCAACCTCATCAAAGTCAAGAGCACCAGCAACGAAAGGCAGAAGGAAGTCAAAAACAAGATGAAGATGGTAATAATAGATGTCCAGATTGTGGAAAAGAATTTGCCTCACTAAATAGCTGGTGTAGAGCTTGTTCTATTAATCAATTAAGACAACAATTTATAAATTGGACAAGTGGAAATAAGTTAATTGATGAGTTGATCCAAGAGACACAATTGACGGCGACGTCAAGCTGTAATTATTTGGAATGGATTCCTTTTGAAAATATCGAATTAAGACAATTTAAGAGTGAGGGTGGCTACAGCGCGATCTATTCTGCAGTTTGGTTAGAAGGTCCAAAATGGATCTATGATGAGGCATCTGAAGATTACACCAGAACTGGTCCAACTAAAGTTGCTTTAAAAAGATTCAATAATCTCAATTCCATTACAGTTGAATTCATCAACCAGGTAATTTATTTATTTATTTATTTGTTTTTTTATTTATGTTTGACATATATACACACTGTATTTATACATCCTATAAATTCCTACTTCTATTCTGTCTTTCTCGCAAATTATTAATTATAGGTAAAAAAATATTTAAATTGTTTGCAATGTGGCTCATTGGCGGATTGTTTTGGCATAACAAAAGACTCGACGTCGTGTTATATGTTTGTAATGAAGTATTACGAGAATGGTAACTTGTACCAATACCTGAATTATGTCAAGGGTGTGATCAGTTGGAGAGATATGATCGACATGTTGTGGGATATTTCATGTGGACTGGAGAAAATCCATTCCCAAGATTTGTTTCATGGTAATCTTCATGGTGGTAATTTGTTAATCGAAGAGGAAAATGTTTCAACCGATGCAAAACTTGCTGATGTGGGATTTTATGGGCCTGTCAGTAATGATTTATCATTCAAAAGAAAAGACAACAAGATTTATGGCGTTTTACCATTTGTTGCTCCCGAAATATTGATGTTATCGTCCAACGCTTCTACTAAATTTCCATCTTCTGACGACTACGATTATAACGATCAAGACTATTGCTATTTCAGACGAAAGTCCGACATTTATAGTTTTGGAATAACAATGTGGACCTTGGCATCAGGTGTAAAGCCATGGTGTGATAGAGCACATGATGAACAATTGGCAATTGATATTTGCAAAGGTTTACGACCAGAAGGCATACGAGACATGCCAAAATATTATAAAGATTTGATGGAGAGATGTTGGCATTCATCACCAGACCAAAGACCTACGGCTAGAGAGTTGACGAAAATATTTTCCGATTGGATTTATGATATGTGCGACAATCCAAACGAAACGGAGATTTCTATAGATTTTTCTAAAGCGGAAGATGAAAGGTGGAAGTTGATTAGCAGACAACACAATAAATCTTATACCCCTCCCAAACAACATCCTCAGGCTTTTTACACCAGCCGAGAGTTTTATTTTCCTAATCTTACCAATCAATAAATTAGCAGAGGCAACAAAACATTGGATGGGTTGATTAATAATAGCACACCAAAATATCGATATATAGTAATTTATGATTATCTTCAATGGATTCCTCACGATGATTCGAAAAGGCAGTTATTATTCGAGACAATATTAATGTTAGACGTTGTTTTTAGATGTTAGACATGGTAGGGCGGCAGTGGAAAATCATTCATTCATACTCTATAATAGTAATTTTATATTTTTATTGGCAGGATTTTTTCCAATTATGCAATAAGGTTTTAAATTAATTTAAGAATTAATTAATTAATTAATTTAATTAAGCTATGAATAATTTTTTTATTATATTATATTATTATATTGTTATATTATTATTATATTGTTATATTATATACTGTATTGTTATACTATTTACTTTATTATCTAAAAAGATGTACAACAAATTTCTTTTTCATTTTCATTTTCATTCATTTTTATTCATTCATTTTTATTCATTCAACCATTCAACCATTCATTCATTCATTCATTTCGTCTTTCTTTCTTTTCCTCTTTCAAAAAACAATAAAATAAAATAAAATAAAATCATTTTTTAATAGAAAGTTGATTTTTTCCTAAAAAAAAGTTTATATGTATGTATACAATAAATAGTAATGATAGTGGATAATGATATATAATTTATACATATATAGTTATATAATATTACATAATGTAAAAAGCTTATGTAACTTCCTGTGTCATTTTATTCAAAAAAACTCCTACACAAAAAAAAATTTTTTTGACAAATTAATAATAAAATACAAAAAAGAAAACAATTAAGTTTTTTTTTAAAATCTCTAATCTTCACCCACTCCTACTAATTCTCTATCTCTCTCTTTATATATATATATATATATACCACACACAGGTACACAATTATACATATACAACTAACCATCAAATTCGTCTTCATAATCCTCTTGTTCTTTAATTCCGGTATATATAAAACTAGACTTTCCATATTTTTGAATTTGATTACGACGTTTGTTCCAAAAAAGAAACGACATGATCAAATATATAAACACCAAACTTCCCGCATAAATGTAATAAGCGTCAAGAAGAAACGGATTGACATCATATAAATCTAGACCAAGTGAGATTTGCACTAGTGCCAATAAAACCAAACATCTACCAAACCACCAATGAAGTTTTGTCCACCATGGAATGGATTTACGATTTGGATCGTACATGTGATGGTGTATACCGCCAATCAATAGTTGAACAAATAAACAAATCAAGATCACCATTCCAATAACCTATCAATGGGATGAATGTAAAATTATTAAGGAATTAATAAGGAATCAATTAGGGAATCAATTTAGGAACTAAATGGTAAAGACCATTAATCTTTTAATATATAAAAATTACATTTAATCATCATCTTTTCCTTCTCCTCCTCCTCCTCCTTTTAAAATTATCTTTACTTACGTGATGACTATTTCTTGTAGTAAAACTTGCACCCGAAGGGAATGCCATAATGAAACCGATAACTGTTAATGGCAAAGCTAACAAGGCTTGAATTCCCCAATGCAGACTGAACCAACGTTTAGGTAAAACGTTTCTTCCAAATCTTGCAAAAAATACACCTAAAGGTGCCGCTACTGCCCACGCTGTAAACATCAACGAACCTTTTAAAATAATTATAAATAACAATAATCATTATCATTATTATTATTCTATTATCACTGTGATTATATATAAGTTATATATTATTATATATTCATTTATATATATATCCATTTTTACACCAATTTATATCCACCCCCGAATAATTACCGTGTATGATGAGAAACAGAGCACGTCTGTTTATAGGAGGAGATGATGATAATGCCATATTTCCATGTGAAGAATGTTCAGTAATTTCCATGGTGAAAGGATCATCGGGTGGTCGGTTGCTAGTATGTACAGCCCAAATGAAATTTGAAGCGATCGTTGAATCTTGTACCGACACTAGACGTTTGAAAATCACTACTAATTTGCTGCTACCATCGCTACTATTGTTAGTTTGGATTCCACTGGTTGGATCCAATTCAAGATCTGTTTGTCGATCTGTTACTGTAGGCACCGCATAGGTTTTTGCAACACGTTGTGATAATGCAATTTTTCCGTCTGTACGAAGCCATGCTAACTGTGCGTGTGCATGTATTTATGAATGGGGGTGGGTGGACGAACGGCGGATTGAGTTAGTGAGTTAGTGAGAGTGAGTGGATTATTTTGTTGTGAATTTATATGATATTAAAAACTATATAATTAATTAATTAATTACCACCAAATAACTATCAAGCATACTATCACCAATTCCTACTCCCATCCATCTACAAATATATTATGTGTAATGTTTGCATATTATAATTATGATTTTACTAGAAAGAAAGAAAGAAGGATAGATTGATTGATTTGACGGACCCAATAGTCGATGGAGCTTCCAATCTAAATGTTGCATAGGTTTGTGCCGAAGTATCAGGTACATCTACTGATATACAATATTGCGAATTATTATCACAATATTGATTTTGTGTAAATGCTCCTAAAATAATAAATATATAAATATACAATTAATAATTGATAAAAAATTCCCAAATATAAAGATTGTTGTTGTACCTTGAATTAAAATACATGATAATAATAATGTAAAAATGATATTTTGTTTTATCATGATGATTTCAATGGTTTCAATTTTAATGGTTTCATTAAATATTTACAGTGTATATTTAGGTATATTTAGGTATATTTATAAACAAATATAAAATTGAAAAGAATAATCTTTTCCGAATGATTTTTTTTTTAGGAAAATCAATCAAGATAAATTCAAAATATAATAAAAAAATATGAGGCTGTGAATGGTGAAAAATCGAAGCCAAATTTTTTTTTAAAGAAAAAAATTATTTATCATCACTTATCTCATTTATAAATAGTTTTTCTCACAGTGTGTACACAATAATAATAAATATGGGGGCTTATAGTTCAAGAATTCCTTTATTTGTTTCAAGGGTAAGGTTACACGATATTAAATAAAAAATAGCAATAATAAATAGAGATTGAGTCATCGTTACCTGAATCATCGGTTTTTTATTACTGCTATTGTATATAAAATTGCTACATTAATATATGTTGATGACTCTCCCTATCAAAGCATTATCTTTTTCTGGTAAGGTGTAACAAACACCATAAGGAGAGAAGACCAATATATACAATCAAAATTGAAAGAAAGTAGTAAGTTTGATTAATAAATGTTATTTTATTGGACACCTGGTCCCGAATCAATCTTTTTAATGCCGCATCAACGTCACAAGGATATTAATATGGTATAGAAACCGTACCCACTTTACTTAATAGTAAAATTACATCATGATTTTCCTCTATAAAAAGGCCTATATAATATACATACATTAATATTATTCTGAATCACACAATGTAGTTTACCTATCTACCTACATATGAAGGCATGCTGCAACAAAATCAGACAAAGCGAACACTTGTACAATACATTATAGTTGGTGTACGCAATGATGATTACCTTTACTACATTAACTTTAAATAATTTTGAAGATAAGAAATATAACATGAATGCTAATGATGATGATGATTGGGTTTCTTTTACTCAAATGGACATTTCTCAAGTCCTAATAATACGACGGAAAATATTTTTTGGAATCGACAGATGATGTGAATGGGAGAATCATGTTGTTTTGTACACATTCTGCATAACTAATTTACAACTATTGTGATGATATATCTGAAAACAGAAAGTTCATAAATCCTAATCATTGTTGGCATCATCCAAGTGGCAAATATTTTTTCACTTATGGTGTTGATTCTATTATCAAAACTTTTGATGTCGTGACAAATAAAGTTGTGGTGAAATTACATGGTCATAAGAGTCTGGCCAGAGGATTATGGGATTTGATAAAACTGTTAAAGTATGGGGACATGATTAATCTTTTTAGAAAAAAATAACAACAACAACAATAATAATAAAGATATCATTAATTAATTCTTACTTGCAAATTATTATAATAGAGAGACTATGAAATATTACTTATTATTTGATATATATAGATTTCAAATGTCTGTTATTTGTTTTATATGTAGCACAGACTTTTTATGTTGCTATCTAAGACTGCTTAAATAACATTATTATTATTAATATGATCGTTGTTATTATTGCTGTTGTTATTAATATTGTTGATTTCTTTACTAATATCACTGCAATTATTATTATTATCATTACCATTAACAGAACTATTACCAACATCAAAATAATAATTAATATTCATGTTATTATGAATTACGGTGATGATAGGATTTAGATAATTTTAATTGAGGCATTATTTGTAAGGTAAAAGAATCAAAATCTATATATGTGTATAAGAGAAAAAGAAAAGATGAAAATCTACGACTTTTTTAAAACATGCCTTGTGATGATGACATTGAACTTTTGTTTTTGAATAAAAAGAAATATATATATACGACATGTAAAAAAAAAGGATAAATGAAATATATTGTGATCTTGTTCCGGCAAGAGACTCTAACATTAATGAAAAGTCTTTATGATACTCTTTTTTTCTCTCCAGCTTAAACTAATCGGTCCATCCAAATATAGTATCCTTCATTGGCCAAATCACGAACCTGGCTGATCCGATACATATATTAATACGTGCAAATTGAATCCGGTAATCAGGACTCCATATTAATATACTTATAACCAGAACAGTGTCTAAAATCTGAACCCGAAATTATGTGCGGTACTAGCACATTATTATCATATTCAAGTGCGTTGACCACACATTATTAGCAAGCTAATGTGCGGGTAATTTTACATATAATTTACATAAATAATCAAATAATCAAATAATATACTTTTCGGTATGATTGTGTACCTGTTGTAAAAATCTTTTTCCTTTTTGCATTTTTACATTAGTCGCAAAACATTGTCACCTTTTCATTACTATCTTCACTTTTTTCAAGCCAAGGACAAACTCGTAACCCATTTGGATCAAAATCTTCACGTATCTTTTTTATTTCTTTCTTGTCTGGTTATTTTTCACTCATTTTTTCACCCTTGTGTATTTGCTACCTGTTTGGATCCTTTATTACTTTTTTCTTTATTTTCACAAATAACAAATTTATCCATTATCGTATACTTTTCAAGAGCTTTGATATGAATGGAGTGAATAAAAAGATGTTTTGTATTGAAAAAGAAAAAATTGCGAGAAAAAAAGTAATTTTTATTTTATTATTTGAGCCACAAAAATTTATGATTTTCATAAAAAAAATAGGGTCGGACGGTACACGAATTAATAGTAATAACTATTCCCGATTGTTATTTCCCAAATATGTACTATAGAGCCGTTTTTGAACAATAAAATCGTGCGCTGATTAATTTACTCATAACAATAATAATCAAGTGGTGGTAATCTGATCAATCGAAATTCTCTTTAATGTCTTCCATAATTTGCTGGCCATTGTTAGCTTAGCTGCTGCTTTTAGTTGCTCCCAGTATATCCTAAGCAATGGTAATAATATTATCGAGGCGGTGTTAGAATTCTACTCACAATACTTGCCTCTCAGCATGTCAAAATCAACATTGCTGTCGTCATACTCGGTTTTTGTCACAATGTCCTACATACTGACAAGGAACCGCAGAGTGAGTCCTGATTACAAATTGCGACCCATATTTACATAGTTACTCTTTTTCTTCTCAGCTTTTTATTCCAGACACTTGTTAAATCGGGACTTTTATTAATAATACTAATTAGTTTATATCGTAACGGAGATTGTTTGATTATTTGTAACTCAAATATGAACATGACCCTAAGTGAAAATATAAGTGATGAAATTCTTAACAAAGAACAACCATTGAGTTTAGTCTATCTGGAATTTTGAATCGGTTATAAAGTTTTAACTGAATTCGAAATCAAATATATTTTAAATAAAATAGCATCAAAAGATTCGCTATGAAATTTGCATTTGGATTTACTTTTCTCTTTTTATTCCAGTTTAGCGCACTCATTTGCTATATTTTATTATTTTACTGTAAGAAATTCATGATATTGCATGCAAGGAAACAACAATCAAACATTTATAACATTAATATTAATATGTTAAAAAAGGAATACGAAAACAAAAATAATTAGATTTGCAAAAATACCGCAAAAGGAATGTTGTGTTATTTATTAATTATTTTTTTTTATTAAAAAGTTAAAATGTCCTTTGCTAAATTATTAACGCAAGACAGAGAAAAATTAGTACTTAAAATTTATAATGAAATAGCTAGTATTGCTTATTCTGCTTTTCCAACTGTTTCTGACAAAGAAAATAAAAAAAGATATTTTTTACAATTAGTCAAAGAAAACAAAGAACTATTAGAAAATGAAAAGGAATATTGTAGAGAAAGGTTTATTCATTATTTCGAATTAGGGAATGCAACTAATAAATGGGGTGAACCAAGAGAATGCAATAATTGTGAGACAACAAGATACTCTGATAAATATTGTGA